ATAATGCTTTTCATTTTCTCCAATGGGAGATAAACAGGGTCTGATTAATAGAAGAAAGGTCATAATTGATCAATTCAGGAGATAATCTGAACCTACCAGTCACCTCGACAGCAAACAACTACAACAGGTTATGTTAACATACTCCCTGCTATTCAAGAGTCAACAGACCACCGGCTCTGTCCCTATCATTAGCCATCTTAGTCCATATTTACTTAAACTGAACTGCATCCTTCAGGTGAAGTGCCCGGGCATCAAACTGCTTCTCTTCTCACCAGTATCCACTTGGATAAGAGAACTATGGCTCTGAGGCAAATACTGCAGCCCAAAAGGGTGTGTGGGCAAGGAGAGTTAGGAGACTCTGGCTGGCTGGGACCTTACATTCCCTTCTCACTCTTAACTTTGCTACCAGGACAGTGATTACTGTCTGAAAGTTTACTTTCTGCGCCTGTTCCAAAGCTGTTATGCTCAATAAACCCCCTTATCTAGAGGCTGCTGAGAGCTATTCTTGTTCCTTAGCTTTTTTTTTTTTTTTTTTTGTGAAAGAAAGAGTGTTTCAGAAACAGCTACAGACGCACTAAGCAGGAAGGGTGGGTAGGGGGACCACCTCAGCACTGGAATGAAAAGACCATGGAGTGAACAGGGAGACAGGAGGCAAACTCACTAGGTGAACAATTAAGAGACTTAAAAAGAAATACACTAAATTCTCATTCCAAACCCCAGGCTTGTAACTAACCATAGCAATATCTAAAAAGCCATTCTTGAAGAAAAACTAAACTTCAGTTTTATGCATTACAAATAAAGGGAAAAATTAATACATTAGTCACAGTTAAAACTTTATCCACCTTAAGAAAACTTCAGATCAGAAGAAACACTTATTTGCAAAGATTCAGCCACATTTCTTTCTGTGAGCAATCAGAGAATAGGATTTTGAACTTACTGCTAATAAAATGCTCATTAAGTGAAAAACATTAAGATGTTAACTTGAAGAGATTCATTAAGGGCCTCAAATTACTTACCTCAAAAGTTGTTTGGTTAGATGAAGGTCGGATTTTAGTTTAACGCTTTTCTGTCTGTCTTTTGACTAACTAGGTTAACAGTCATCAGACCTCTTCCTAAAGTACAAGACCTCACTGAGGTTCCAGCTAAGCAGGGGCAGGACACAGTTAGCATGGAAGTCTCCAAGCAAACTCCCCAGTACTTTCCTTCCACCCCTGCAGGGGCCCCTCAAAGTACTCTTCCTTTGTGGAGCATTTGGTCTGTAGAGGCAGCTGAAGTAGCAATGGTACTGACAAGTGGAATCGTAAAGGTAAAGCGATACATTTGAATTTTCTTTTTTTTGAGTCAGAGCCTCACTCTGTCACCCAGGCTGGAGGGCAGTGGCACACTCATGGCCACCGCAGCCTCAACCTGCTGGGCTCAGGCGATCCTTCTGCCTCAGCCTTCCAAGTAGCTGCGACTACAGCATTTGATTTTTCTTATAGCAAAGCAATGAAACAGCTCTCCTGGGAGAGGAAAAAATACAGGGTCCTGTTTGTTTGTTGGTGTCACAACAAAAATAGCAGTTTCCAAGCAGCTGCATTTTAAGACTCTTCCTGAAGGATCAAGTAGGGAGAGACAAATTGTTTAAACACAAATAACTTTGACAATGTAGGCTACAGGCATGTGGAAGTACTTTTAATTTCACTGCCACAGTCTAAACTAAGTATTCTTAGAACAGAAAGCTCTGCAGTCTCTCTGCTGTTTTTCACCTGCTGACAAGACACGATGCTGGGGTGGTCACTAGATGCCCTGTATTCCAGGTTCCAAAGACATACTCTTGGGTCATTGTCAACTGGCACACTAGTCTGGGCCTTCCTAAGGTTATCAAAGGACAGACTAAGGGACAGGTAACTAAGAGTGTGCTCACTCATCGTAGAAATCCTTTCCAGGTGGGAAGTCAACACAGACAAGTTTTATAAGCTGCAGAAGTCAAAGCTGGACACCTTCACAGTCTTACTGCTAACCTTTTATATATGCTATCCTTGATAATGAACTTAGTGGCCAAAGTTACATAATCCACAAGATCAAACCCTCAGAACAGCTTCTCTGACACAGGCTCTTGTTTCCTAAACTACCCAAAGCCAACAGTGCCATGGGTGTAAAACACAGGCTCGTAGGGAAAGGTGACGAAGCATAAGGCGGCATCATTCCTGCTGGCTCAGTGGAGTGCAGACTTCGGAGGCATATCATTTTTTTTTTTTTTTTGCCATCAACTAAGAGAACACGGACTCTGAGAAAAGTTAACTCCCTGGGCCACCCTCATCCAAAGATATCAAAGTCTATCTACAAAGAAAAGCAGAACATTTTTCAGGCTAAAGTGACATCTTAATTTTTACAGAAGACAAAAATGAAGATGTACTTAAGAAATACTCTAAGGCAGGCTCAAAATGCTAAACCTAAAAACAGGATGACAATTTCTCAAAAAATGTAACACTTATTATCATATGATCCAGCAAGTCTTCTTCTGGGTATATGCCCAAAAGAAGTGAAAGCAGGGTGTCAAACAGATATTTGTACACCTGTGTTCATAGCAGTATTGTTCATAACCGCGAAAAGGTGGAAACAACCAAACAACGTGGTATATAAAAACAAAGGATTATTATTTATCCTAAAAAAGGAAGGAAATTCTGACACATACTGCAACAGGAATGTATCTTTAAGACATTATGTTAAGAGAAATAATCAGTACTTTATAGTTTTCTAGGAGCTGACATAGACATTATATTACATAATTCTTACGACCACTACCCTGTGAAATAGTTGATATCACCACAACCCCCATTTTACAGATGGTGAAAAGAGGCCCAGAGAAGCTAAGTAACTTGCTCAAGGTCATATAGTAAGAGGTAGAGACAAAAAATTTAAAATTCAAATTTTCTAAATCAAATTTCCACACTCCTTTCAATACATCATGCTGAACTTTCTCTTTATCTCCATGGTAGTCTTCAATGGAACTTTATAGGAGGCATTATGGTTTGGAAGAAAGATTCCTGGACTTGGAGTTAGAAGACTTATGATTAATTGTCAAGAAACATCTGTGAGACCTTTCATAATACACAATATCTTTAAGACTAAGTTTCCTCATGGGAAAAGGTATATTTTTAAAAGTACAAAATATACTCAACAGAGTTTGAAGATTAAAGAAGGTAGTATATGAAAAAGTAGCACAAAGCATTGAATAAGTGAAAATAGATGTCAGAAAGGAGTAAAGGTGAGCTTTTGTAGACTTAGTACTACCAGTATTTTTCCCTGATTGGGCTTTAGTGTGGTAAGTGACATTCAAACAATCTTTCCAGTAATCTCTTAAGAAAACTGGCTGGATCTTTGCTGCTTCAGGCAAATACTCTTAGTCTAATTCATTAGCAACAGTGAAAATGATGTGATTATTCTCTCCATCGAGTTCATCAGAGAAGTCTGGGAGTGAAAATGAAGGCATAAGCCTGACAGAGTCAAGTAGAGAGGGAAGAGGTTACATGGTTACAAGAATCTGTTCAAGGCTCAACTAGTCATTTCCTGGCTATTTAGAAAAAGGAGAGGCCAGAAGCTTAAAGCAGCTGCTCCAAGGCCCTTGGAAAGAATAAGGACAGCAAGTCAAGCCAGAAGCAAAGCCACCAAAAGAAAAAGCAACAAAGCAAGAGATAAAGCAAGCATAAAGGAATGTGACCAAGGGAACAGGTCCCAGAGGAAAGGGAGCTGCCTGGAAAGCCCACGTGAATACAGGAATAAACAAACACCACATAAATGATACCCATTTGCACTTCATACTCCAGTCCAGAATTTGGTGCTTCATTCAATCACCCACATTGGTCATACTGCTCTTGGGTCACAAAGGGATATGTGGGAAAAGGCAGTTTGTAATTCCCGATTTTTACAGAAGAATCACATTTATCATTAAGGTCTCACCATAGTATCTGGATTATTTCCTAGGTGTAGATATGTATTCAGCTGTGAGATTTATAAACTTGTGTTTGCTGCAAAATGTCTCTGGGGTCAGGTAAGGCAGACCAACTTTCCCTGCAATCTTGTTAACACATCTCACCTCCTGCTCCCGCATCCCAGCCCTCCTAACACACACACTTCACACTTTTGCTTTTATTCCCAGATGTGCCAAGTATTGTACATAGTAAGTCGCAGTAGGGACGGGACATTTTACCATTAAATGAAAAAAAAGAAGAGAAAGAGAAACAAGCATCACAGCCCAGCCCTGCCACACACTACAATCTAGACCAAGCTGTTCACGTGTGTTACTGTCACTGGGGATACCTGGCAAGGCTTGCATCTGGAGCTAAATCAAGTGCCTCATCTGTTGAGTTTGTCTCTTTAACTCAATGTTAATTTTTCAACTGTTTACAAGAACAATTTAATAACTGTTGAGGAAATAAAAAATCATAGGCACAAAGGGAGCAAGAGATGGAAGAAAAGCCAGATTCAGGTTTCACAGCACAGGAAGCACTCACTCCTCTCCATTTACCGACAGCTCATCCTGTGGCAGCCCCGACCAGCTCCATGTCTGGCTCAGCTTCATCCACTACGGATGGATCTCTGCAAAATGACTTAGCCCATGGGCTGCAGAAATAGCCAAGTGAAGTAAAATGTCAAAGGTCTAAATCCCCATGAATCAGTCACCGAAGTCATGGAGAGAAGGAGAAAAAATCTTAAGAGAAAAGCTTTCAGATGACCTATGCACAGAAAACGCTTTGGCAACTAAGATGCCTCAAAAGGGTTTGCAACCATCTCTTGATAAAAAATTCATAGAACAGCCAGCACTTTGAGCTGTTCAATATGACAAAATAAAAGCCTCGTGTACTCCTACTTTTCTTGATCAAGTACGACAATTTCTTCTGCTCCTACAGACATTAAGAGCTTAAAATAGAGTGGTGTTCAACACACTCTACTTGAGAAGATACAATAAACCTCCGAAAGAGCCAAGGAACTCTGAAAGAGAAATTCTCATTCCTTACCTGATATTAACTAGCGCATGGGTCACCTTGCTGGCTGCATCTTTCCACTGGCCGGCATTGGTCGAAAGCCTCAGGACTGTACAGAAGGAAAGAACAGATCTGTCAACCCCTGGCATAAAGCACAAACATGAGGAATAAAGACACATCTCAGAACAGCACTCTCAGAATAACCAAACAAAGCCTGTGCTGATCTTCTGTTAAAAACATCGTCAGCCTAGAAAAAAATATAAGAGCTTTTCACTAGGAGTTTTTCCTCTAACTTCCTTTTACTTTCCACCAAAATTCTCTACTCCTCCTTCTTTGCCTTGAGTTTTCCCTGCCCCCTATTAGCAGGGTTCTATAACTTTAGTTTTTGCACTCATCTAAAATCTATACTGGAGTGGTAAGGCTAGGGTGACCTGGCTGCCATGTTTGTTTTTCATTCCCAGAATGGTCAGTGGAACTGGAGGCTGAGTGGGTGTCCCCCACCACTCCAAGTAGCTCTTCCTGAACCTAAAGGTGTGAACACAGTCAAATAGGACAAGCAGCCTTTCCAGAGATAGAGGGCTTTGCTCCTCTGACTTCACTGTATGACCTCCAAAATGAATCAACAGGAATGTCCTTCCCTTGCCTGACCAAATTCATCTCTTTTCCAAACTCACACATAGAAAGAAAGATGTTGGAAGCACAGAACTGAACATATTCTCTACTGGTTATGGTCTTCGGGGCCACACAATAAAGTATTCGAGGCATTTTAGAAAAAAAGACAAAACAGCACAAGTGTTCCTTGAAAGAGCAAGCATGGGAGGGACACACCTCATCCATAAACCTGCATAATGAACATTTGGATACCTAACCCTGAATTGTGCCACACATCTTTAAAATAAAGAAGAAGAAAAAAAAGCCGGGCTCGATGGTTCAGCCTGTAATCCCATGCTTTGGGAGGCTGAGGTGAGTGGACTGCCTAAGTCCGCGGGTTCTCTACAATAAATCCTCTACAATAAAACCTCATCTCTACAACAAATCAAAAAATTAGCCGGGTGTGGTAGCGCACACCTGTAGTTCCAGCTACTTGGAATGCTGAGGTAGAAGGATCGCCGGAGCCCAGCAGGTTGAGGCTGCGCTGGCCAGGAGTGGCCACTGCACTCCAGTCTGGGTGACAGAGTGAGACTCCAACTCAAAAAGAGAAAAAAAAAAAGAATGAGCAAGCACATGGCAAGTAATCCAAACATATGCTTTACGAGTGTCAAGTTAACAAGGGCTGAATATGTGGAGAGTTGATTATGTGAAAGGGACTAGACAAAGCTAGGTTACATGCCATAGCATACAGATAAGGAAACAGAGGCTCAGAGGAGATAAGCACAGGAACTGACTGAGGTCATTCACACAAGTTCTGAATAACACAGCTGGAATTTGAGCCTGCAGGGAATGGCTCAAGAGCCTATACTTATGCAGAGAAGTGAGTCAAGAATATGCTCTCTGAAGCCAAAAGTCAGGGGCCAAGTCCAGCTCCTGCCACCTACTAGAGAACAGCTGCAACACCTACATGAAAAGCTTGCTGTGAGAATTAAATGTGCCAAAAAATGTATACATATTTGCTCAAAGATGGCCTTAATCAAATGAAAGCTAGCGTCACCATGCGACAGGTAGTGCAGCAGAATTGGCCAGTGCAACCATCTACCAAGTGTGACTTTTATTCATCTTTTGTTGTCAGTACATATTGACTATAACGATTTTCTTTTATTTTTTTGAGTTGGAGCCTTACTCTGTTGCCCAGGCTGGAGTGCAGTGGCATGCTCCTGGCTACCCTACTGTCAACCTGCTGGACTCTAGCGACCTTTCAGCCTCAGACTTCCAAGTAGCTGGAACTACAGGCACGCGCTACCATACCCAGCTAATTTATTGTAGAGATGAGGTCTCGCCAAGTTGCCCAGGCTGGTCTCAAACCCACGGGCTCAGGCAATCCATTCATCTCAGCGTCCCAAAGTGCTGGGATTACAGGCTGATCCTCCGAGCCGGCCCTGAGTATTACGATTTTAATGCAAGTTCTCCTTTCTTTGAAGCTCTTAGATTAGAGCCTGCCACACAATACATGATATAATAGTTTTAGCTATTACTAATTTCAATAGACTTCCTCCCAAATGAATGAATGAATGTGCCTGAGGTCTTCCCAAAGGAAGAAAAGTAGGCCTCACTAACATTAAGAAACATGTGACCAATGTATGTAGGCACTTCCCCTCTGAGTGCCATCCTGTCCTCCCGGCCCAAGACTCCTAAGCAAGAAGAGCAGCCGCAGAAAGAAAACTTGGCTGACTACTCTGCATCTGTTCCAGTAAGGCTGCATTTTTATCAATTAAACAGTTTTATGAAAAAGAAGATAAGACAGAAGTCTTCATAAAACATATCATCAGAGTGCCCCCCCCTTTTTTTTCCTGAGTCGGAGTCTCACCCTGTCGCCCAGGCTGGAGTGCAGTGGCACGCTCACGGCCACCGAAGCCTCAACCTGCTGGGCTCAGGCGATCCTCCTGCCTCAGCCTTCCAAGTAGCCGGAAGAGTGCTGCTTTTCTAATTTATAAGATTTAGTGCAAGGGAATTTGGGATAGTTCCAAGTGAGAGCTCTACAATCCAAACTCAGATTTTACCCAACGCCTGTGCAAATGTACTCATGCCATGAACAAAATTGTTCCAGCAAGTCAGACATGCCTTTTTCAACTCAACTGTGAAATTTATTTAGATGCATTGTTTCACTAGATCCCCCATTAAATTATAAGTTCTCTGATGGCAGGAACCTAAATATTTATGAAGTTGAGCTGAATTTTCCCCTCCTTACACTTTCAAATAGATGCTTAACTCTGTCCACAGATTATTTCTCTGTAATACCCTATCAGCTCTGTTCCTTAGGAACCCAGATGACCTTATCCCCGCACTTCCTTTGAAAACACCTTTGAAAACACTCTTTTTTTAACCAAATTTAAACACAAAATTATTTCAAAATGCCCTAAAAGTCTCAAACTAAACAATCATTTAGATAGTAAATTATGGCACACATAAATTACATACTATGCAGCCATTAAAAAAGAGACTTCAGAAAATTACCTAAATAATTATGATATGTAGGTTAAAAAACAGAAGACAGAAGGATGCCATGATTACAGTCATGCAAAACTATGCATGTGTGTGGGCTAATATACAACAATGAAACAGTGGTAGTACTAGAATCAAGGCATAATAACAGTAAATTTTTTTCAGTTTTTTTAGTATTGGCAATTATCTTTATTTTAAAAAATAAAAAAGTTTAAAACATGATGATATTCAGGGTTCAGGGCAGCTTCTCTGGAGGTCCTTCCTATAAAGTGGATTTCTTTTTTTTTTTTTGAGTTGGAGTCTCACTCTGTCCCCCAGGCTGGAGTGCAGTGGCCACTCCCGGCCACAGCAGCCTCGACCTGCTGGGCTCGGCGATCCTTCCGCCTCAGCCTTCCAAGGAGCTGGAACTACAGGTGCGTGCTACCACGTCCAGCTAATTTTTTTTTTAATTTATTGTAGAGATGAGGTCTCGCCAAGGTGCCCTGGCAGGTCTCAAACCCGTGGGCTCAGGCAATCCACTCACCTCAGCCTCTCAAGGCACGGGATCACAGGCTGAGCCACCAAGCCCGGCTGACAGTGGATTTCACTGCAGTAAATCAATGCCACGTGAACATGAACTACATGCCTTCATCAGAAATATCTAGTGAGCCTTTCTCTTCCAGTCACGATGGAGTGATAAGACATAGTTTACACTCCTACCATAAACAATAGAAAATGGGACAAAACATGTGAAACAATGGATATCAGACATTAGACAATAAGCAGTTTAGAACTCTGATCTCCCCAAAGAAGGAAAAAAACCAAGGTGAGCCCCAGTTTACTGCACAGAGACGTTTCCACACTATAGGGCAGGAAGGAGGAACTTGGACAGAAGCCCGAAGCCCGAAGTCTTGAAGACACAGAATCAGCATTTGGAGAAGCCAAAGCATCTAGAAGGTACGGGACAGGATGCTGGCAAGGAGGGGTTTGATAGACAGCTCTGGAGAGCCACAGAGGGGTCCCTGAACATCTCTTGCAGAATACTGATCTATGCATATGAAAGAAGAAACTACCCAAGGCTGAGGGCAAAGAAACACTGGAAGGGAGAAGAAGTTGAGGTGCTCAAGGCAGGTTCCACAAAGAAAATAACTTGGGCTTCCACAAGCAGGAGTGGAAAGATCTAGTAATACATGGGGTGCCAGGCGGACTCTGCAGATGGGTTTGCATCAGTAATGGGGCCAAATAAGCCTATGTTAAAAGTTGCTCTTGACCTGCTCTCAACCCCTAAAAGCAAGCCCTCAAAGGATCAAACTTACTCCACATAACATAACCACATTCCAAAGCAAAGTCCAACATTATATAAATAAACATAACGAAATCTAGCATCCACACCATAGAAATCACAATAGCTGAATTCTATTTTTTTAAAAAAAGCATACAAAAAAATGAATATGAGCCATAATCAGGAGAATCAGTCAACAGAAACAGACTTAGACAGGAAAAAAGATGGAGTTACCAGACAAGAACATTAAAACAGCTATTATAAGGCCGAGCATGGTGGTTCAAGTCTGTAACCCCAGCACTTTGGGAGGCTGAAGTGAGAGGACCACCTGAACCCAGGAGTTCGAGACCAACCTGGGCAACTTGGTGAGACTTCATCTCTACAATAAATCAAAAATAGCCGGGTGTGGTAGTGCACGCCTGTAGTTCCAGCTACTTGGAAGGCTGAGGCGGAAGGATCGCCTGAGCCGAGCACATCGAGGCTGCGGTGGCCATTAGCATGCCACTGTACTCCAGCCTGGGCAAAAGAATGAGACTCTGACAAAAAAAAAATAGCTATTATAAATACGTGCCATATACTCAGGAAGACTGAGGAAAATATAAATATGATGAGGAAAGACAGAAATACTGGAAAAGAAACTCAAGTAGAATTTCTAGAGAGGGAAAAAAAACCTTTCTGAAATGATATATTACACTGGATGGGATGAACTAAGATTAAAGAGATTAACAGTATATCATATACTGTTTAACAGT